ACTAGAGAGTTGACAAGACACGTGTTTTGATAGAAAAGAATGAAATACAGAAGGTCAAACCCCGTTCACAGGGCTCGAGATGGGTGCCATGACTGCCACATATCATTTAATTTAAATTGTTTTCGGATTATGTTACTATTTATATCAATATGTATAATCTATATTTGTTTAAAATTTTAAGTGGATAGATGATGAGGAGCTGAACTCTCGTTATTGAATATTTTATGTCCGACATCAAAATCTAAATTAAATATCAAAACAGTGAAAAATATATTATTGTTTTATTGTGTAGCCTAATTAACCACTCTGTGTGCCGGTAGGTGACACATGTCGCCGTTGGTCCGTACAAATATGTTTGAATCTCAAATCTAGAGAAAAAATTAAAATAATAATTCAATCTTGCAAATAATTATGGGAGAATTCACGTGTTTTAGAATCCAAAGTAAATATTGTGAACATGGCTTGGAGTAGGAAATTTATAAACAAATTAAATAATAAACACGTATGTAATAACAGAATTATTTAAGAACAATTTTCGTGGTCNAAAAAATGTACAGATAGGTAATCAACTTATTACAAGTCTACGAGAATAACAAATCACTTGTTTCTCTCCAAAGCCAACATGCTAATCTATTACTACTCAAATAAGAAGGTCCAAAACAGAATGACCAACATGAAAATCTAGACTTACGACTATAAATATCCGTTGCAACATTACAAATAGAAGAAGAGAAGATAAAATTATCATTCAACTTGTTCACTATCTCCTCTGAGTTGATAATATACTGAAGCTTGTCCCAGCCTTTCTCCTCTGCCTCCTCCATTTGCCATCTTACAACCAGTAATCATGTCTCTTCCTCATTTGTTTCCACCCAAAGTCCACATTACCTGCAAACACCTCATTCTCTGTCTTGCATTCCCTCAAATTTCTACTTTGCCAGAAGAAGAAGTTATGGCACTGACAGTGAACATCACTAATCCTACCCCTTTGGAAAAGTCTTCTTTGAGCTCAGTAGTATTCTGGACCTGACTTTGACCTGCAACAACCTGTTCACCCAAGCTTTCCAACCAATCTCTTTATGCTATAGTACTACAGCACTTTCCACAAATGGTTCACCTCGAAACAGTAAATTGTTCCTTGCTTTCCAGACTCTCCACAATAAGCATACAGATAGTATGATTTTGTCCCTAAGTGCCTTGCCTTTATGAGTACTAGTTACTTCACACCACCAGTCTTGTATCTTCACCCCTTCCCTCCTAAAAGCCTCCCACTCAACCCCCATCAGCTTCCAACAAATCTGTACTCGATTGCACTTAATAAACAGATGCTCTATATCCTCCTGCTCCTCTCCACATAACCTGCATATTGAGTCCACCTTGATTCCTTTCCTCGCTAACTGTGTGTGTGTACTCAGAAAGCCATGGTACACCCTCCACATAAAGTTCCTGAGTTTTGGCTGTAAAGATAACTTTCATGTCTGCTCCCACATTTTTTTGTTCTGCTGCCCTCCTCTACTTGTACCTTCCCTCTTCAAGCTCCCTACAGCAACATTCTTTAAAGTTTCATATGCAGCTTTGACTGAAAACACCCCTTTTTTCTCCCCATGCCAAATCAACCTATCTCTATCAGCTAGATGACTAGATGAATCTCTAATATTGCCCTAGCTTCAAAAGGGTTAAAAGTTTGGTAAATCAGCTCCTTATCCCACTCTCTCTTCCCCCTCACCATTAATTCACTAACCAAAGAAATATTCCTTTTATCCCTCTCAAATTGGCAAGTAGGAGTGAATCTATCTAACCTAGGAACCCAAAGAGATTCCCAAACTGAAATATTAAGCCCATCTCCTACCCTAAATCTAACCCCCTTTTAAAAATCCTCCATGACACTCATTCACCTTTCCACAACCAAGAGTCCGTGTTTTTTTTTACTTTGAGATGTCTCGTCGAAACCACTTTTATCGCGTCATTCCAGAGGAAATAACTTTATACTATATTATGGCAAGCTTGAAACAGAAATTGGTCATATGCTAAAACAAAAAAATCGTAAAATGGATCCACTCTCAGCGCCACAAAGAACCTTAAGAACCTTGCCAACAAATATGTCAACCCTATACATTTGTTTTATCATCAGTTCNGATGAAAGTTAAATAAATCGGACTGGATTGCATTTGCTCTCACAATTAAATATTCCGTAACAAATGATAGAAACAAAAGAAAAAAAAAATGTGAATTCGAACAAAAATATGTAATTTTTTCATATCACTACTAGATCAGTTAAACAAAACATCTTTCTTTCACTTTTAAATCACCCGTACGTATATATATAATTAACAAATGTGTTGAGTCTAAGTGGCAGTATCTCACTCTTCGAAATTCTATGTTTTTGGTGAATCTATACTTATATAAAAGGAGATTCTATTTACTACATTTACTATCCAGAAAAGTCAACTGCATTAAATATCATTGCTATTTTGGTATTATAATATTTTATTTATTTAATTAATTTATTTATTTGTTGTATATTAAAAAGGTAAGTATAATAAAAAGATTTTAATAATAAAAAAATTAAATACCAAATAAAAATGTACACTTTGACTTATTTGATTATATTTGGTATTTGATTATACCAAATATATTCCTATTTAGTATATACATTAAATACTTACTAAAGTATTTATTTGTTTTATTTGTTAAAGTTAAGTATAGATTTGTTTATATTATCCAATCATATAAAAATATTAAATCCATATTGTAAAAAAAAAATCATATAATTTTATAACAATTCTACTACACTATTTAACAATATTTTTTTTATTATATAATAAAATAATAATTAAATATTATATGGTGAACAACAATAAGTAAAACTGTTACTTTCTCTTATGTCAAGGGATAAACTTATATGTTAAAATTTAATTTTTATTAGTATAAATATTTTAGTGAGATAATATATTAATTATTTTACAAGCTAGCCCTAACATGCTCATATTTAATGTTTTAAAAGATGTAGAAAAAAACTTATAATAACTCTATTGTTTTTTAGACTTAAACGATGATTAAAAGAGCTAAAATTTCCTAATTTTTTAGACTTAAACGTTGATTAACACCATAGATTGAGAGTCTATATTTAGTAAAATTCTTAATTGTAATAAAAAAATTAATTTTTGCTATATTTTAGAATATCTTTAAATTCATTATTAAAAAAAAACTACAATGAAAAAAGCAAGTCAACTATATATCGATTTGTTGTACTCCTCAAATCACATTCACAATTTGGCTACAAGGAAAAGAAAGTCATTGATTAAAATATTATTTTGTCAGTAGTCTTAATGTACAAGAGACTTTAAGACTCCACTTGAATATTATAAAACTTTTATTGAACATTGTACAATTTTCTTGCGTATTATAAACTTTTATTGAATATTGCATCTTATAATATAATATTCTCCAAATAAATATATCTCGTGCTTCGCACGGGTCACGTACTATATATATCCCGTACATTTTTCTTTATTCATGTATATAATTATAAGTCTGGATAAATAGCCTTAAAATTGTACACCCCGTACATCGCACGGGCTCTGTACTAGTACTAAAATAAAAAAATAAAAAAAATAATACTTGTACATTTCCCTAGATACAAGTTTCACTTAACTACACTTCACAAAGAGCCGCGGCTTTAAATAATGACCTTCCCAAAAAATTCATCCACAAACTATTCAATTCTCAGTACACACTTACACAAAAAACACCACACTAAAATACTCACACACTCACACACACACACACACACACACACACAAAAACACCGTTTGTTTCCTTCCTCTGTTTTCAATGGACTTCATCCCAAATTCAATCACAGGCAGATCCGAAAAATGTCCGGTTTTTTCTCTTTAGCCGCCAATAGCCACCACGACCAAGGCCTGCCGCTATCGGAGGCCAATTACTACGTGCTCCTCTCCAAAAACGAGGAGATCTACACCAAGGGCTTCGAGCTATTGGGGCCCGCGGGCTTCTCCATCGGGCCGGGCGACGATAATAGCCCTTTCGGATCGGGCGGATCAGGGTTTCGGTTTGCTGACGTGTCGGGTAGCGGGGACGGGTCGAGCTGCCGGGACTGCGGGAACCAGGCGAAGAAGGACTGCGCCCATTTGCGGTGCCGGACCTGCTGCAAGGGCCGAGGCCTCCCCTGCCCCACCCACGTGAGGAGCACGTGGGTCCCCGCCGCCAAGCGCCGCCTGCCCGCCGGAGGCGAAATCCCTAAGCGGCTGAGGGATAGTCCTTCCGCTGCCGGCGCTGCGGGTGCGTGTCTGTCTGTGTGTGATTGAATTGAAAATAAAAAAAATAAAAATATTCGGATTTTGTTTTTGGTCTAATTAATGTTTGTGTATGTGGTGATTAGGGTCTGAGGCGGGGCACTTTCCGGCGGAGCTAAACTCACCGGCGGTTTTCCGATGCGTGAGGGTAAGTCCGATGGACGAAGGCGGTGACGAACAGCTGGCTTATCAGACGGCGGTCAAAATCGGCGGCCATGTTTTCAAGGGGATTCTTTACAATCAGGGCTCCGAAAAAAAGCTCCCTGGCGGCGGTGGAGGAGGAGGAGGAGAGAGCACCTCCGGCGGCGGAGGATCACAACAACGGCCGCCAGCTCCGATTTCCGGCGCCTCCGGAGGTGGTGGTAACGTGGCGCTTGACCCTTCTATTTACTCGCCTCAGTTAAGCGGCGGGTTCATGGGGATACGCAATATTTCCTACCACCAACACATTAACAAGTAGGGATTGGCCAATTGGGTTTTTCGGATTTACTTATTTTCCTTTCTGATTTTGGGTATTTATAGTTTCTTTTTTTTCCTTTTATTTCACTTAATTAATTAATGGGATCCTTTGTTTTTAAATAGTGTTTGATTTACCTTTGTTTTTAAATAGTGTTTGATTTATTAGTCTACCAAAAAGTTTATGGTGTCATCGGATGGCTCCCTTATGGAGCCATCCATACTTTCATGTATTGACACGTGTCCAATGTGTATTTATTACAGGGCACGTGACAATACATCATTTGTGGAAAACTAGATGGTTCCATAAGTCAAGTCATCCGATTGCTCTATAGCAAAACCGATTAGTCTACTTCCTACTTCACGATTAATGATGATTATGAATGTGTTTGGTAAGTGTATTAAGTTATCTTATAGCTTATCAGTTTTTTTTATACAAATAAACTTATACAAGCTTGGATTGGTAGGAATAGATTTTTTTAAAAATCTCGAGCTCATCTCAGAAACTTTTTTAGATATCTTTTTATATAAGCCCGTTGAAAATTAATATGGTAATTTTTACCTCATAATGATCAATGTCTTAAACCGTGTAACGTAATGTTTCGTGTTTTGATTTTTATAGTGTGTTGCGTAAAAAGTGATGCGTATTGCGTAAGTTAGTTGGGCATAAAATATTATTTTTATAGAATATTATATATATATATATATATTCACATAATAAAGTTGGATGGTTAATTTAAAAATTTGTAATAATATTGAATGAATTCAAATATAACATTTAAGAATTATTTCTAACAAATGTTTTCTAAAAATCTTAATATGAATGTTTAAATAATAAAGCAAATATACTTATAAAAGAAACTAAAAAGATCTAATAAGGTAAGTCAGAATTTAATTTTATGTATACTTTAATTAAATATTTTAAATTAACTACAATTTGGTTCTAACCATTAGGTCTAAACTTAAATTTAAATGTCAAATACCAAAAATTATAATAATATAATTGAACTAGATAGATAAATATTGCACTAATCAATTAAGATTTTTTTAAACTTATAATTTGAAATTGATATCAAAATTTTAATTTTTAGTTGCCATTTGAAAATGACAATAATCCATAAACATAGAAGTTTTCAAATATTTTCTTTATTTAATATCGTTGCAGAAATATAGCGTAAAATAACGTGAAATAACGTAAAAAAATTATGTTATGTCAGCATTTTGTGTAAACTTTTCAAATAAAAATGCTAATATCAAATGTTTCGCCGTGTTTTACTGAAAATTTGCACTATAACGTGCTACTGCGCTACGGATCGATATTTAAAACAGTGGAACGATTAAGGGTACTGAGCATGGGCGAATCTACATAAAAATTGCCCCCTCAGATTTTAATTTTTTTAATTATTAATAATAAAAATTTTAATTTGTCCTCCTTTGCACCCCCAGATTTTTTGTTTTGAAAGGTCACTAACCAGCCAACTTGTCCACAATTGTCAATTAACAATTCAACACTTCTTTTATTTTACTATTAACTTTGTATATTAATTATTATCATTCTACAATTTTAATTGGCCCATATAAAAGACTTCAACTCTCTTTTATTCCCAGGCTAAGGCTATGGGTGATATTTTTTGACCGAAAACAAAAAATTGAACCGAACCGATGAGAAAATAAATCGAACCGAACCGACTTATGTGTAATTTTGGTTACCGAAATATTATCGGTTCTGAACTCATTAGGGTTCAATTTTAAACTCATTATGTCATGTTTTTTGCCCCCTCTCAATTAATTTTCTGGTTTCGCCCCTGGTACTGAGCCACATAGTTGTTAAAAAAAGGTATATAATTTCTACATCGTCGCAATGTAGAAAACGAAGCGAGCAAATAATTTTCTAAACTAAAAAGGAACCAATTAATTACATGATTCCACTCAATTTTTAATTTCTACCCACTTTTACTCACCCCTACAATCATTCATGAATCAGAGAACAAGAGCATTATTTCGAAATGGATCTCATTTTTGTCAAAATTGTAACAGAAACTAAATAGGGTATTGGGATTTGGGATGCATGTGGGATGTTTTAGTAGTTTTGTTAATTTCAATTATGTTTGTGTGAATTTATTCCTTAAAAAAAATGTTAAACGATAGCATTTATTGGTACATATAATCGACAATCTTTTTCCTAGATGCCGTTGAGTGTAGTAATTGTTGATTTGTTTTAGGCAACATATAGATGTGTGTACAATGTGCTGGTACAAAAATATATTGCCCATTAGATATATATCTTTGTTCCTTGTATAAAAAGACTTCGACTTATTGTTCAGAGTATGGGTGAAATTATATAAGATAAAAAGACATAAAATATATTAATAATTATGTTTTATTTGTATTTTAAAATTTTATTATTTTTAAATGAAAAATTTAATTGTAGATCAAGTATTACTAAGCATGAAAGTAAGTGAACCTTAATTGTTGATTATTTGCATTTAAAAAATTTCAAATTATATGGGATCAAAGTTGACATAAAATATATTAATAACACACATCTAATGTTTTAATTTGGTTCTTAATTTCGGTTCTTCGATTCAATATGATATGGGACAGTTCGGTTCGATTCTCGGTACGGATATTTATGAAATCTTTAGAACCGTACCAATTTATTTTTTTGGTTCGGAGTCAAACAGTCAAATGTTATTTTTTTGGTTTGAAGTAATTTTCGATTTGGTTTTCATAACAGTTCGAAATTTTTCGAGTCTCATGTCTAGCCCTAGTTCAGAAATCGTTAATTTGCTACATTATTTATTTAATTTTAATTTCAAATACAATTGTGAGTGCTTTTGGTAATCCTTATAATTTAATTTTGGAGTTCAAATTTTATAAAAACTTCACCGTACCTCATATGCATGTCTAATTGTCTATGCAGTGTTTCAAATAAGTTTATTGTTCTTGTTTTTCTTTTAATTTGATATATTAGTTAATTTTATCCAACACTTTTATTATACTAACATACCCTTTATAGAAACTGGTGGGGGACGGGTATAGTTCTCCAATATGCAATGGCAATTGTCAATTGATTATTAACTAGTTTTTAACCCGTGCATTTGCATGTAAAGCAATATAATAGAACAAAAAATAATAAAAAGATATAAACAATAATAAAAATCATAATATAATCATTGAAAAAAATGTTCTAAGAAAGAATAACTAAATATTGTTAAAAAATTCTTTATATACAACCTTTGTAATTTTTCTATCAACAGAATTTCCATCACTACAAATCACTATCTTCAAATTAAGACATATAATGGTTTTATTTGTTTAAATAATTATTGTATTTTGTTCTATAGATCATATAGGAAATTAAAAAAAAAAATACTAAAAAAATACTAGCAAAATATTACAAAATAAATAATTGTATTTGGTTGATAAATAATGATATGTGCCAAATATGTAAGACATTTGAACAAAATGGCAATTTTTGGGCCATAAAGAAATATATTGATTGAATGATAAAAAAAACCCAAATTAAAAGTCCACTTAATTTTTTAGGGTGGCCAAAATCAAATATAAAACAGGTCAATAATAACATGACTATAAATAGAGATAAACTCCTTGAGAGTGATGTAAGCCATTTTTTTTTGTTGATGTCGTCGCTTCTCATGTTATTAACTCTGTCTGAAACTCTAATCCTTAATCCGATCTTACGACAAACTCAGCGAGATTCAATACAAAACAACTATTTTACCGGAGATTGTCTCCCGGTAAAAGCTTAAAAAATTAGAAAAAACATCCGAAAAATGTTGTTTTTGTGGTCAACAGTAGTGATCGAAAAATAAATATTCGTCTCGATTTCTTAATCTGTGTTGCTAAATCTTAACAGCTCGTTCAAAATCGGGCGATAATATTACAAATCTATGAAGAGCTAAAATATTTTTTTGTTAAACATAATTTTTATTTTTTATTATTTTCAATGATCTATGTCGTTTTTCTAAATTCCTTGTGAATAAGCTTCAAAGATATATCATATTTTATACATAATTCAAACTTATTTAGATGTTTTTCGGAATCGTTTTTCGAAGAGAACATAACATTGGTCGAACTTTTTCAAATTTTTATGTATTTTGGTCAGGGTTTGAAAAAATAGGTAAGTTGCTAACAGATCTGTTCAGCTCTACTAACAAATATATAGGTAAGTTTATAACATATTTGTTCATATCTGTTTATAACATATATATGTAACTTTTATGTATTTTGTTCAGATTTTGAACACTAAATAGTTCAATTTTTTCTCGTCTTTCTCATCATATCAGTAAGTGAAGCTTTGCTAACACTTGTTCAAAATCGCTTTTCGAAGTTGTTCAAAGTCTTTTGCCGAAGTTTTTCAAAGTTTTTAGTATTTTGTTCAAAATTTGGAAATATTAGGTAAGTTTATAACAATTCTGTTTAGATATATTTATCGCATATTAGGAATTTCTTGTTTAATGTTTAAAAGAATCTGTAGGAATTTTTATTTTTAAAACTTTTACGCAATAAATCGATTTTAATATAAAGACAGATGTCTTGGTAAAAGTTGAATGTGTTGATAATGATAGGAAAATCAAATTATTTTTCTTTCTATATTGTATAGTGTCCAATAATGTACCACATAATTTGCTGTGTATTTAATTTTAATTTTTTAATATAGATTTGACTTTTTTTTGTTGATTATTAATTATGCTCGATATTTCTATATTTTGCAACAATCTGCCATTACATACAATGCCTTGTCAATCCTCATTCTTTGACTTTGCCAATTTCCGTTTAATATGACTTTTCTGTTGTTGAAAGTATGGTTCTTAATGCATTAAAATATTGATGTTTTGGATATGTTTTGATGCTATAATCATGCAGAAATTTGTCCCGCCACTTTTTTCTTAAAGAGAAATTGTTTAATGAAAATTAATCATATTTATATTTATAATTGTGAAATAATATTTTTTTTCACGACCAAATATTTTTTTTTTT